GTTCTTCCCGTATCCACCTTATTTTTCACGGAAACACGGAGGCAAAACAGAACGCAGCCAGCTTCCGTTGTTTTGTGCGACACTTCCAGTCCAGCACTCTTACCACTGTGTAAATGGGAATCGCCTTGTTGTTTACCTTGTTGAGTTTAGCTATATATATGTATATATCACATTTTTCACGTCACTATATCACCGTTTAGACTAATCTGATGTTTGTAAAGTCTATAAACACAATGACTGAACAAACATTAGTATTTTCTCTGTGTGTAATTAATAACATGGTTATCGTAGATTAGCTGGGCTAACCGTTAGCTGTTAGCCATTAGCCGTGTCTGTAATAACTCACTAAACTCACAAAGTGGCCCGTGAAAAAAATATTTTCTCCAGCGGATGTCTTAGTTACAACATGACTGAGCTAACTGAGTAGTTTCATGTCGTATCCGACAACGGGAGGCTTTTGACGGATGACGATCCTGATGTTAGCTTTGCTGCTAGTGTTAACGTTAGCTGTCCCAGTCAGCTGCAGCCACTGATGCTTTCTAGACATCGTGATTTCCCAAAACTGAATAAATACCACACATAGCAACACAAAACTGCTTTGCTAGCTCAATCATGTTGTAACGGCTGGATGGTTGATGCGTACATGCTGATTCAGGTGCTATCAGAGCCGATCCGTGCATCACTATGGCTTAATGATCAACTCAGTCAATTAAAACAACCCGTCCTGTGTTAGGAGTGTATGTCGCTGACAGAGAGAAAGAAAGAAAAGGGGAAAAAAGATAGAAAAGCAGCGTACACCTCACATATTTATTTCTCACAGTTGCGCACACGTGTGGCTGGCATGCAGAAGCACCGTCTGTGTGTTGAGGGTACGAGCCGCAGCTTCAGCTGCTCAGGTAGAGAGGCTGTGTAGCCCGGTTTATGATTGACGTGCGATTTATTCGCGTTTAGAGGGAATAAATTTCCGTTATAACAGAAACGTGGGCACAGTTATCGATACAAAATACACAGACTAACTAACTAACTAACTAACTGATTGACTAACATAAACAACTGAAAATTGAAAAAAAATTAGCTTGCACCGTTAGCTCCGGTAAGCGAAAGCATGAGGGAAAGCGGCTGACCGGAAGTCACGCACAAAAAAAACGGAAGTTGATCACTATTTACTTCCGTGTTTGAAAATAAGGTGGATAAGCATGGGTTTTCTGCAGCTTCTCTGGCTTTTTCCCACAGTCCAAAGACATGCAGCTTAGGTCAACTGAAGACTCTAAATTGGCCAAAGGTGAGAAACTGAGTGTGGATGGTGTCAGCCCTGTGATAGTCTGGTGACCTGTCCTGGGTGTACCCCGCCTCTTACCCAGTGTCAGTTGGGATAGGCTCCAGCCCCACCCCAGCACAACCCTGAACAGGATGAGTGGTTACAGATAATGAATCAATGAATAATATTGCAAAAATGTGATCAAATCCTCCTCAGTGTTCCTGAACGCTGCAGCCCTGAGCCTAATACTGTTGTTTCAGTCAGAGCCAGGAAAAACCCTGACTGTTGGTGTTTGCACAGTCTAAATTATCCAGCATTACTCATCAAGACTACAGACAGAAGCAGTGCACTGTCAGCAAGGTTCTCACTGTGGCTCTGATGCAAAACTCCATGACTTTTCCTTGGGTCGAATGGCCTCAATAACCAAAAAACTCAGATTAAGCACTGCTGTTGTGCAATCACCTACACAGACAGATTCAATTTTATTTTTTACAGATCAAACATCTGGTTAAATGAACTTTAAAACAGGCCTTTTGTGGTCTCACACTTTTGTTTGACGTTTTCAGTGTTTATATTGTTAATAAGGACTTGCTGGGAAAAGTGGTATGAAGAATGCTGGATCCAATATTTGGTTCATGTTTCTTGACCAGGCACCATGGCAGGATTACTGACTGGGCAAAGTGGGCAACTGCCCTGGGGCCTCAAAACTCCACTGGCTCTAAAAGCTCCAGGCTTACTGTGTGTCAGCTGGTTTGTGCTGATTTCATTGAACATTTGTTGTGGAAGTATGCAGCACTACAGCACAATTAACTGATATGATAAGATGGGTAAGGCCCCTATATAAGGCATTATATAACAGAATTATTATTATGAGGCTTCCCTAGTAGAGTTACTGTGTCAAAATCTATTTTTGAGCCATTCATTATTTCAGTTTTGAGCTTATTTGCTTGATGTAAATACACTGCTACACAGAAAATCTGGTAGGGATGCACGATATTGGAATTTTTGCCAATATCCAATAAACTGATATGTAACAACTCATATGACTGATAACCAATACCGATACTGATACATCCACTTTTTTCCCCACCTAATTTTAGTGAACATCAGGTCTCTTCTGTGGTGAAATTATCAAAGTATTGTGCAGGCATACTCTTATTGTGATGGCATGCCAGCAGATGGAGACATGAAATAGAATGCTTTTCAGTGTATGTAATATTCATTCATTGTGCAAAAGTTAAAAAATGTGCACGCTATCCTATTCTGGCAATATTCATTTTGAAAGACAATATTGGCTGATACCAATGATGTACCAACATTATCAGCATGTTGGACAATATTATTATCGGGCTTCCCTAAAATCTGGGGACAGGTAGGTTTCTAGAATGGAAAACTGTACACATTGGGAGTGTGGAAGGAGCTAAGTCGTAAGGCCCCAGCAGCTCATTTTCCCTTGGACCCCTTAGAAGTTTTTGGAAGCAAACTGTGCACTTGCCATCATTTCCCCAAAGTCAATGATGATACTACAAAGTGACACCTCTTTCAGAATGTGTTTGATGCACATATGAAGGCTTATGTTGTTTGATGTAAAAAAAAAAAAAAGAAAAAAGGTCACAACAGTAAGAGTACATAGTCAACCGGAACCATTTGATACATGATATTTTGCTCAAAGCATCCTATCACGCAAATAATTTCTGATAAATTAACCTAATTCACTGTGATTAGGACAAGGAATTAGGACATAAGTACATGTACAAAACACAAATTCCACCTGAAAAACTGGCAAAGATGTCCATTAGCTACATAATGCTAGTCCAGTTAGTCCTTGGAGGAACAGCTCATAATGTTAATATTGTCAGTATGAAAAATGAATATAAGAAACTGGAGTTAGGAGATTCTGCGATGTCGTATAGATCAGTGGTTCCCAACTGGTTCAGCCATGTGGTCCAGATTTCTCCTTAGTCATTAATTCAAGGTGCACACAGTTTAATATATTCAGCATCATACTTGTGTTCGGCCATGTTGAGCTAGTTTGTTGTCTCTGTCAAGTAGCTGTCCGTTAGTCAGTCACTCTACAGCAGGACACAGCACTTCAAAATAAAAGCTCTGTGCCGGAAATTAACTGAACTTAAAAATGACGTGTGATTTTTACAAACTTGACACCTTTATGAGTCACTTGCGGTCCATTCAGAATGGACTCGCAGCCCACTTTTGGACTGAGACCCACCAGTTGGCAACCACTGGTTTAGATCTATTATCAAGGAGCTTTTTGGTTTCCCAAGGAAATGGCAGTAACACTGAACAGACTACCAACACTATGAAACCGAAGTTGGTTACGCCTCTAGAAAACACACCATGTAGCCTAACACCATTTGTGATGGCATCACTTGAATGTGTCTATTAAAGGCCATGATTATGTAACTTCTCATGTGCTTTTAGTCAGTCTGTTGTGACTGCACAGAGCAAGTCATCCAGGGTTTATCCTTTGCCCTGTATAAATGGTCACAACCTGCAGCCATCCAGGAATTATCCACTGCCCTGGCAGCCGCTCTCACCACCCATGGGTGGACCTCTAGGGCTACAGAGAGCTACTGAACTGTTCATACTTTACAATAGAATGAGCCCTCACTGAGTATGAGAATAAAACTGTTGAACTGAATGCAAGAGGCTTAAACTGCACTGCTGACTCTAATGGTCAATCTAAGTGTATGTATGCTACACCTGTCTTATTAGACAGTTATTTTCATGGAAATTGTTCAAGTATATAGAGTCTTTCGTAATAACCATGGAGCATTACACATTAACAGTAGAGTTTATATTTTAATAATCATGATGGATGAGCCACTAATGAATGTTTGCATTTTCCAATACAAATGGCCAATATTAGGATCATTCTGTTTTTCCTGCTGTACAGAAAACCATCAAACCATGACCCCAAAACCAAAATACCTAAGAGACATGGAGTAAGGTATTAATACAAGATGTAATTTTAGTCATAGATGGGACCAATATTGGCATTTAAAACTATATCCAGTCCGGGTCACAACCAAATACAAAAATAACTGTCGCATCAAGATTAAAAGTGAGATGTCCACGGGATTATATAAGACTGGAGACACAAGTCAGCAAAGCACTTTTATAGCCATGATGTGTCCAACACCCTGCAAATGTAAAAATCCATCCTCTCACAACAGAAGCAACTGCTGTAATCTATTCTGACGACACAACAGACTGTGTCCAGTCGGTAAGTGCAGATTGCACGTGCCAGGAGCAGCACATTAGCAGTTGACACAAACACTAACTACACCTGTGTGCGTGCGTGCGTGCGTGCGTGTGTGCGCGCGCTGGTGGTGCAATGCAATGCCAAACCCCCATCGACAGAGCAGCTCAACCATAGATGTATTACAGCACGGAATGTCTGTGTGTTCCTGAGCTGGAAGCTAGCACCGTAACGCTACCAAAACCCAGCAGTATACACCGTTGTTTACACACACAGTACCACACACGCCTTCCATTAACGTTACCTCTATAGCTTAACCGACAAATGCTGCGTTAAATTAATGTGTCTTGACTGCTGTCTGTATGACAGCGTGCCGAACAATAGCCATATTTTCGACATGACTGGAAATGAGGAAAAAAACGGGTCCTGCGTACCGCCAACAGCTTCAGTGACGGTTCAGTTATTGTAGGTATGACAGACAGCCATGTTAGCATCACAACTAAACTAGTTGCCCGTCCTTACCTGGATATTCAGCTCCAGAAAACAAAGGATGCTGCTGCGGTTTCTCTCCGTTAGGTTGATGCGTCTATTTGGCCTGACAGCATCCTGTTCCCAGCCAGCAGCACCACCGTCACACCGCACGACATAACACCAGCGCTTCCGATAGGAACTTTCATAATAAAGGCCGATTTGTGTGTAATTATGTAGGCTACTTACGTCCTGCTTAGGGACTGTAGGGACTTTATTTATTAGAGGAGGGGGAGCCTCAGGTGTTGGTTTGGTTTGTGAAGCTGAAGCTACAAATATTTTCCCTTGAGCCTCCCTGAGTGACTGGGGGGAAATGATGAAATACCACTGTTTAAGCTTGGATTTAATCATTTTTCTGATTGTAGTATTTGTCGTGCATGATGTGACCAAGGGCTGCAGGAATTTTGAAAATTCTACGGTAAATTCTCTTTTTACAGTTTCTACCTCTGATAAATGGTGTGATTTTGGCAATTTCTTAAGGAAACATAGCTCTCAAACCTGCCGGCAGGTTTCAGAGTTCAGAAAGTATTCAAAATAAACACAAAATGCAACAATTTAAAGTTGTATGTCCCTCCCCCTTAGCCAAAATTTAAAATAACTTTGATGGGGGTACTTGTAAAGATTTAGTTAACACAATAGACAACAAGCCTGCCATTGTGTCTTTCCCATCTAGAACAGAGGGAGCAACTGATCAAGTCTTTGTAGCTGTTGTTTCATTGCAAGACCCCACAATTTTTTTTACTGTGTGCACCTCTCATAAATGATATGTAAGAGTCCCGTCAAAATATTCTGTAATATAAAACTGCTATGTTTCTTTTTTAAAATAGCTATATTCAACCAAATTCCACCATGTATGACAAGTTAGAACATAAAAACAAAAAACTAAAACATATCTTCATTTTAAAGTGAAAATAAGCGAGCCACTATTCACAAATGCATGGTATGTAATGAAAAAATAAATATATAATAAATAATAAATAAATATATATATATAAAAATAAATAATAAAGAGGTTTGACATATTTTACACAGCTATAAATCAAATCCAGCTCACGCTTTTGTTTTGAAGGTTAAGATCACAAATTTTCAGGTTATATTTCCACTAATGCTGTCTGCCTTGACGCAGCAGCCAGCGGCTCAGTCTCTGCAATGAGACAGATAGATGCGGCTGAACGGGAGGGCAGAGTAGGCCATACTGCTCTCTGCTGCATTTTATATTGACTGTATGCAATCACACTCTGATATCCAGATTTTTAATGTGATTTTATGTAGTATACCCCCACGACTATTTGTATTTTTATTAAAGTTGCGTACATTCAAGTGTTAAGCAGTCAGTTCTCCCCTTTGAATATGAATGGAGTGGTCCAGTCATTAAAGGGCCAGTGCGTGGCTTGTCTTTGACAGCTCGTCAGACCACATTGACAGCTTCTCATTTATCAGAGCAAACGAGGGTAATCTTTCCATTCTAATTACTGTCTGAGAAGACACCTAATTGACAAAGCCTCTATGATATGTTTTTCACTCTTCACATGTTTAACCAGGAGCTTACCACTTTGCTGTGTTTGTCCTTTCATGTCATGATTTTGGCATGATGACGACAGAGGAAGAAATGTTGTGTTATAAATGCATCATTAAAATTATAGCCTTACTAAATATGATCAAAGTTTATTTACTTTTGCTCTGTGGCTGTTTTTCGGGCAAGGCCTTGATGCTCCTATTAAAGGGTAGGCCAATGGATGGATTACTGAACAGGCCTACCAGGCACAGGCCCAGGAGCCCAAAGTGTCAGGCCCCCCTAGCCTTCACCTGCAAAATGGCATTCAAATAAACCAGCACAGACCAGGAAGAGACTCAAAATGACTGCAAAGAGGCACAAAAAGACCACAAAGAGATGCAAAGGAAGTACAAAGAGATGTAAAATAACCACAAAATTTACAAAAAAACGACAAAGAAACACGAAATGACCACAAGGAGACAAAAAACACAAAAAGATGCATAATAATTACAAAGAGATGCAAAATAATTGCCATTCCGCAAAACCCCCCAACTAATACTCTCAAACATCTGGATATTTAATGTATGGAAAGATTACAATCGGCATTCACATCCAGGGCAAGTGACTCTGCAGTGGTCACGTATTTATCAGTCCCAGCTCAATTCGCACTGAGGGACACATATCGATGAACACGCTAATTTTAGCCTATTTACCGGTGAGATGCAATGACATGCCACCACAAAATACTGTCCGTCTCGGTACCAGACTGGTGCAGAAAAGTCCCAGATGAAGGTCAAGCATCAAAAAAAAGCTCAATCCTACTATTTCCATAATGCAGCTCATTAGCTCTCCCTCCCATGCCAAACTTTCAGACAGACAGTTAAATATTAAAATGCTAGAAATTCAACTATATTTAAATCTAAGCTTAAAGTGGTCAAATTACATATTCATTTGATTATTATAGTCAGTAAGCCTAAATATAGATGATCATGATCTGTATTTCACTTCTGTGCTTTCACAATACCCAAACAAAATCTTAAGACAGTAAACCTAAAAATGACATTGATGTGTGACATATTCCAAAACCACAGGTATTAAAGGTCCAGTGTGTAGGATTTTTAGGGGGATATATTGGCAAAAATGGAACAGAATGTTCATAACTATGTTTCCATTCAACACATTCTCACTCCAACCTTGTCACATATCGACCCTTGGTCATAGACTTTCCACATCGACATATGACGCGCAAGGTACCCTGGGTGCATTGGTTGTTGATGTTCTGGGACGCTGTGTCAACTTCAGCCTGTTACATGCATTGTCTGTTTTTCAGAATACACTTCCGTTTTAACAGGAAATGTAAGGTTTGCGTAGTCTCTTTCACAAGAAACATACTACATCTGTACAACACCTTCAATAACAAAACATACATGGTTACGTTTAGCCAACACTTGCATGTGGTTAGGTTTAGACAACAAAAACATGTGGTTGGTTTTAGAAAAAAATAACAGGGTTTGGCTCTCAATGGGAAGCAAACACTGGCCTCCTGGGTGAAAGTCAGTGGTTGTTGGAGTGGGTCCTCTTCCACAGGGTCTGGCATGTTGTTTCTACAGTAGCCTAGAATTAATGACTTAAACTGCCACTGTAGTTCTCCTACATGCTTGGCACATGGGAGATGTTTTAGTTTTGCTACCTTACCATTAGATGCCACTAAATCCTGCACACTGGCCCTTTAAATGAACACCTCAAAGTACTGAGATGGAGTCAGGACACGGTTAACTTAGCTTAGCATAGCATAAAGACTGGAAGCAGAGGGGAACAGCTAGCCTGCCTCTGTCATAAGTATAAACACACCTACCAAGAACTTGCTTTTGACCAAGATTTTTGACCAAGTAATTTCCTTTGAACAGCCTTGACTGGCTGTTAAATCTGATGGCCACTGTGTTTGCAATTAAACACAAGATTGTTCCTCATGCTTTGAAAACACTATGCAACACCAATGGAATAGAGGTCATTATTTATCCATAAAGGACTTCTTATTTAATTCCCCTGATACGAGTGATTTCATTCATCATATTGCCCTCTTCTATCTGCAGTCCCAGTTAATCACCATGTGTGGGTATGTATGGCTGTCTGCATGCTTTTATGTGTGTGTGTGTCAGGGAGAGCTGAATCAAAGCAGATGTGATCATATGTACCTCCTCTGGCAGTGGTGTGTGTTTCTGAACTCTATCCAGTCAAAGAGGTTAGATTCAGCAAAGTGAAAATGTAACTGTATGTATGTATGTATGTATGAATGAATGTAACTCACACTCAGCTCTGAGAATCATTTACTCTATGAACACACAGAGGGGGAGAAATGGAGAGAGAGAGAGAAAGGCAAAAGGTTGAAGAACACACACTCTAGCTTTTTGTGATGTGTGATGTTAGATATTAGTTATTTTATGACTGATTAGATTTGTTTTGTAGCTCACTGTAGAGCGTGTATTATTAAGGCTGAGTCCTTACCACAGTGGCCAGGGTTTGAGTCCAGTTTGAGCCATTTGCTGAATGTCATCCCCTTTATCTACCCTGCCTTTCCTCTCTCTCTCTCTCTCTCTCTCTCTCTCTCATTATCTAGATAATAGGGAAAAAAAAGAAAAGGAAGACTTGCTCGGGTTAGGGTTAGGGTTAACCCCAGTAACATCTGTCACATGTCTGTCTTGAAGAGAAAGATAAATATTACATTTAATTGTTATCCTTTTAACGTCCTGCTCATGTTGAACTCAACCTGATTGAGCTATCTCTACAATTTGGTTTAGGTATGTAATACTAAGAATATCCCCTAGATGTCACTGTGTATTTAAAGAGTCTGCTTTTTCAGTTTGCCTCCTACAGGAAGTTAGCGACAAAAAAAGTCTTTCCACACATGAGGGCACTGTTTTTCTACATGTTATAGTTTCAGAGGTCTTACTTAACAGATTTATGTAACTTCATAGAAAAAATAAAAGTCTAATAAGGGCCAAATATTTCTTTAAAAAACAGGCTCTACCAAACAGTTTAGTTGTTCTTTTATGGTAAAGGTAGTAACTAAAATTAACTATTTGTTTTGAAATAAAATCACTTGTAATCGTTTATTGTTGTTAAATTATACATTTAATATTATCCATTATATTTTTACTGAAATAATTTTGTAAATATGATGTTTTTACCATCTAAAGGCATGCTCAATCAAATAGTTCAACTGACATATGGTAAAGGTAGTGGTGCTAAGATAATACATTTACAATTTTATGAAATGGGAGAAAGGATAAATATTCACATTTTGTTGATACTATGTATCTTATGTTGTTCCATTATGTATTTGATGAAAACAGTATGATTTTTTTTTCACAATTCCTGAGATGTTTTCAAAGGACTGTAATGGTAAATATCTAGAATGAATATGTGGAAAATCCTATGGTCACAAATTAATATATGTTGGTATATTACCATATCACTAGCATTATAACAATATACAGTACAGGCCAAAAGTTTAGACACACCTTCTCATTCAATGCGTTTTCTTTATTTTCATGACTATTTACATTGTAGATTCTCACTGAAGGCATCAAAACTA